AGTTCTTCAAAGCATCTGGGAAATCAGGGTATTTCTGTCCTAGAGGGCAGCTGAGTATGACAGGTACTGCTAGTCCACGACTGGCCATACCCTGCTCTGCATATCTGGAGAAGGCCACACTTTATTCCAGATACCAGGGTTGGTGCTGCTAGCTCCCAGCTTACGTTGATATGTCTCTAACTGCCTGGAGAGCAGGATCTTCACTGGAAAGGCTTTCAGGGGTTGTTGACCATGCCTCTAGTTACCAGGGTAATGTGAGGTATAAAAAAACATGTTGTACCTTTTTCTTCCCCTAAAAGTGGTATGCCTCAGTGCCACCAACATCCCTCTGCTTTCAAAGCCACCTGGAAAAGTTCAAGATGGCCAAGCCAAGTTTGACTGGCCAGCACAGACCCCTTGCCTCCTCCTCTCCTTGCCCTATGTCTCTTCAGCTGCTTCACCTAGTTAGGGCGAATTCAGGCCTGGCCAGGCCTGGCTCTCTACAGGTTAGGAGCAAGGCTCACCAGGCACTGAGGTTAATGCAGAAAGCTTCCCACTCACTTTGATGGTGCTCATAAATGTGCTCCTTTCTATGTGTCTCCAACAGTGGGAGAGCAGGAACTTTACTATGGCATATAGCTCTGGTCACTAGGGTAGTGTGGGGAATGAGAAAAAAAAAAAAACCACCATGCCTTTATTTTTACAAGTCACCAATATGGTTCTGCAATACCATCATGCTCTTATGTCTCTGAAGCTGCTATCAAAAGTTTAAGATGGCCCTGACACTTCTAGTTGGCTGGCACAGAACACCAGTCCTATGTATCCTTTTGTGCTGTGTCTTCTCAACTTTTTCTCCTCATAAGTATTCAGTCCACTTTTCTGTCCCTTCATCTGGAGCTCAGGGCTCCAGTGCTATCATTTGCATCTGTTTAATTTTGATTTTCCTTTTCTTTGCTGTACAGGGTCTGTATACCATTTCTGTCTAGTCCGCCATCTTCCTACCTCTCTCCTATAAAGTCATTCTTGATCTCTTTCTATTTGCTATTAAAATGTTACATACTCATCTGTCATATATCGATTTACCATGAATGCATAGTCAATATCTAGGCTTTCTGTATAGTCTCATCTATCTGTTATGGATTCCTGCACCAATAGTAGTGGTTATGCCATGCAGTCACTTCCAACTCACAGAGACCATGTACAGAGCTTCTGAGGCTGTAAATCTTTATGAGAACATAAAGATTCATCTTTCTTCTGCAGAACAGCTGGTAATTTTGAACTGCTGACCTTGAGGTTAGTAGCCCAATTCGTAACCACTATGCTACCAGAGCTGTACCCTGATGTAATTAGTATACCTTTACAGTAAACTTGAACCTTGTTTACGTTAATATTGCCTTGGCATACTAGGCCTTTTCCTCTTCAGTATAAATTTTATATTTCTCTAGTTCTATGAAAAGTTAAGTGGGGATATTGATTAGAATTATTAAAGTTATTGGTTCCATCTACCTCATTCATTCCTTGCAAAAGGAGAAGACAGTTCAGATTTTTAAATTTAGAAGCAGAAATTGGCATGTATAGCCCAGTATATCTATCACTCATCTACCCTTTGTGAGAGTCAACTGCTTACAGAAGCATATAGTCTGTTCTATGCATTGAGTTTTACAACCCCCACCACATACACTCCACATGAGAATGAGTGAGTCTGTTTAATTTTAATGTTAATGATTTCACTTATTATTGCTGCATACCTAAGCCATGTTTGCCAATAGCTTTCTATGAATAACAAAACATATTTTGGTCTTCATCTACTTTATCCTTGCTTCTGTATTGGTTAAGAACTTAAAGACGAGTGTTGGTACTACTTATGTTCACTTTAAATCCCCAAATGGCAGTTTTCATTTGATAATATAAGTACCTGTTTACTGATTTTTATCTTTTCATATAGACAGGAGGCACCTTAAAGCGATAGCTTCGATTTATCAACATTAGGCTGAATTCTATTCATCATTGAGAAGTGATACTATGTAATATTTTAGAGCAAGAATTTTCCAGGCACTGTCAATGACTAGTTATATAGTCCTGGACCAGTTACTTAGCCTCTCTTGGCATCTATAAAATTTTTCTACAATAAGGGTAGTAGTGCTTACACATAGAGTTTTTACAAGAATTAAGTGAATCAATATACACAAAGTACTTTAAACAAAGACTAATGTTTAGAAAATTCTCAATAAAATGTAGCTGTTTTTATTCTCAATAAAATGTAGGTGGTTATTTTTTGAGCATTGCTCCAGGCATATAGTAGGCATTCAGTAAATATTTCTTGAAAGGAATAATAAGCTGATACTAATAAATTTAATTGAATTGATATGACCAAGCTTTCAAGACTCCCTGTTTACAAATTCTTGTTTTGCATCCTGTCTCCTACTGGCCTTTCTCGGAGAGCTAGATTTTATAGCAATAAAGCTTTTCCAGACTCCAGTGACCTACACACGTCTCACTCTTGAAACGCCATTGCCTTGGAGTTGGTTCTGACTCAAAGTGCCCCATAGGGTCTTCCAGCTGCAAATCTAGAGTACTGGTATGGCACTGTAGCATAAGCACTGGACAGTCAGCCACAAGGTTGGCAGCTCAAACCTACCAGCCCTATACAGAGTTGCTATTTTAGGAACTGATTTGAAGGGATTTAACAACAACAAATTTTTATAGAAGCCGATTGCCAAATTTTTTATCCTTTGGAGTGGCTAGTGGGTTCAAACTGGTGGCCTTTTGGCTAGTGGTTGAGTATTTAACCACTGTGCCAACAGTTTCTTTCTCTTACTCTTTACATTATTGCAATTTTATTATCCTTGCAGTTTTATAGGAATATAATAAAATTATTGAGACGGAAAAGAAAAAGTAAAACATTGAATCCTCATTTTTCTTACTGTAAAAAAGATTACTGGTAGTAAGATATCAATGTGTGTGCTTTTGGGTTTTTCCTGAAGCAGACTTTTAGAGTTGGATGTCTTTGTGATATCACTGTTTTATCTAAGGCCATAAAGATTCATAATTAGCTGAGGCTTCACAGTTAGTTGACACTTATACTAATACTAGAACTTTATCGAGACCTCTTTTCCACTATTTTGTTATTTTAATAAGGAGTGTTTTCAGCTACCCATAACTGCAAACCTGACTGATAATAGCTTAAACAAGTAAGGATTTATTTTTCTTATATAATTAGCTAACTGGAGGTAGGCAGTTGTTGGTTTTGATTTACTCAGTGTGGTCATAGTTCTGGGTTGATGTTTCTAAGATTTTATTGGCCTTTCTTTTATGGTTACTTGATAGTTACAGTGGCTCCTGGTTATGTGCTGCAGAGTCAGTTCCAACTCATAGCGACCCTGCCTAGGGTTTCTGAGGCTGTAAATCTTTATGGGAGTAGAAAGCCTCATCTTTCCCCTGCAGAACTGTTAGTAATTTTGAATTGCTGACTGTAAGATTAGCAGCCCGACTCAAAACAACTATGCTACCAGAGCTCCTACCATCACAAATATTTTATTTATTTATTTATTATTTATTTTTGTGCCACCATGATACTATGGGGAGTCCTGGTGTGGTGCTGTGGATTAGTGTGCTAGACTGAAAAGTTGCTTTAAACCACAAGGTAGACAGTTCAAGCTCACCACCTGCTCTTTGGAAACTTATACAAAGTTGCTATGAGTCAGAATCAACTTGACGGCACTTAACAACAACAACATGATGCTGTGGACTTCTGATGTAGTGTGGTAAGGTCAGCATTGGACTGCGAACCATAAGATTGGCAGTTCAAACCTACTGGTTGCTTCTCAGAAACCCTTTACAGGATTGCCATGAGTCGGAACTGATGGCACTTAATAACAACATGATACTATGTGTTCTAATATAAAAGCAATCCAAAGGGTAAATGCAAAAGTTTTGCTGCAAAATCACAAAAAGCTTTATTAAACAAAAGCATCGTATTGCAAAGTTGCACCTTCTCCATCTAGGTCTACACACGTCTGAAGGCAGTGTTTCCATCTCCCTATCCCTTTCCCAAAGTATTCTGTACTCTTCAATTTACACAACATAAAAATGATAGCTTTGACGTTCTGGAGGGACTCAAATTGTGTCCCTTTAAAATTTTCTTTGAGCTGTGGGAGCAAAAAGGAATCTGAAGGTACAAGATGAGGTTTCCCATTGAAATTCTTGTAGGACAACCTTTGCTAAGCTTTAAGAATGACCAGGTGCATTGTCATGATGGGGGGACTTGCAATTTGTATGGCCCTTTTCTCACAAATGCCATTTTCAACTTTCTTAAAATTTCTTCCTTATAAGACCCCCAAATCATTCTGTGTCCTTCAAGAAAATTTGTCAAGATTACTCCTTTTGAGGCCCCCAAACAGTCACCATAACCTTCTGAGCTGATCTCTCTGCCTTTAATTTACTAACACAGCAGATCCTATCAAAAGCTACTCGTTTGATTGGACCAGTTTGTGGAGGCATGCTAATGAAACTAAGACATAAGTGTATTATTATGTCTACAGGCATCCACTGATTGCAGAAACATGTTTAAATATGTTTTGTTTGGAATAAAGCCATGCATGTATAAACTGATACCCTAAGTAGCATTACTTTTTAACTTAACCTAGTTTATGCTATATTGTTGTTAAGTGCCATCAAGTTGGTTCTGACTTACAGTGACCCTGTGTAGGGTTTCCAAGGAGTGGCTGGTGGGTTGGAACTGTCAACCTTTTAGTTTGCAGTCTAGCACTTATCCTTTAGGGCCACACCAGGACTCCCATATATACTATATCTCAAGGTTCTTTCCTTTGTGTCTGCTAAAATAAAAAAAAATCTGATAAAAAGAGTTTTTAAAACTGTACCTTTATCCAAACAATGTCTTATATCAAAACATAACAGCTCCCTTAGGCAAAATATTAAAATAATTTTTTTTTTTGTATTTTTATCCTTTACTTAATACATTGGCACTTTAAAAATTATTAACAAGATGCATTTCTTAACAGGATAAGAACCCATTCTACATTAACTGAAAACGTGCTTTCTAATAAATTGCAATTTGATAGTAGGATCATATCAAGGTAATTAACATTTTATAAAACTTTTAAATTGTGTAATTATAAAAACTCTCTTTAGAAACTTAGAAGTGATTTTTTAAGAATATATGCAATACTACTAGAGATTCTAAACCAATGAACAATTATCTTTCATATAAGCATCTTAATTGCATTTTAATGGCTCATATTGTCATTGTTATTGTTATTTCAACTCAGATCAACTCTGTATAGGGTTTCTGAGGAGTGGCTGATTTGAATCACCGACCTTCTGGTTCAAACCAACCTTGTGGTCAAATACTTATCCTACAGCACCACATCAGAATTCCTTAATTAGTAGATTGTTGCTATATGCAGTACATTAACAAGGGAACCAATTCGTCACTGTTATCTAGTCTTATGAACTTACGTTGTTGTTGTTAAGTGCCGTTGAGTCGATTCCGACCCATAGTGACCCTGTATAGGGTTTCCAAGAAGCAGCTGGTGAGCTTTAACTACTGACCTTGCAGTTCAAATAACTTTGCAGTCTGACACATGAGCCCACAGTGCCACATCAGGACTCCTATCTATGTAAACTTATAGGAATACGTAATATGCTACTTGATGTTCTTTGCATACTATTAGTAATAAAAGGTGTTGTTGTTGCTAACACATATACCCAGTGATTTGCAAACTTTTCTGTGATAATACTCAAAAAAAAACCCCACTGCAATGGAATCAATTTGACTCATAGGGTTATTTAGGGTTTCTGAGACTAAATCTTTATGGGGCCAGAGAGCCTCATCTTTCTCCTGCTTAGTGACTGGTGGATTTGAACTGCAAACCTGGTGGTTAGCAGTGTAGTGTTTATCCTATAGCAACACCAGGACTCCTTGTCTCTGATAATAACTCAATATCATCAAGTCACGTTCAACTCTAATTCCAATTTATAGAGACCCTGTATAGGGTTTCTGAGGCTATAAATCTTTATGTGAACACTCAGCCTCATCATTCTCCCACAGAGCAGCGGTGGGTTTGAACTGCTACTTTGTGGTTAACAGTCTAGTGCTTATCCTACAGTACCATCAGGACTCCTTCTATGACAATTCTTGTTAAGTGCTGTTGAGTCAATTCCAACTCATAGTGACCCTGTATATGGTTTCCAAGACTGTAAACCTTTCTGGAATAGCCTCATCTTCCACAGAGCAGCTGTGGGTTTGAACCACCAACCTTGTGGTCAGCAACCCAGTCCGTATCCTACAGCACCACACCAGGATATGACAGTGGCTGGCTGTGTACCGTGGCGACTCATAGCGACCCTGTACAGGGTTTCCAAGGCTGTAAATCTTTACGGGAGCAGAAAGCTGCATCTTTCTCCCGCCGAGCAGCTGGTAGTTTTGAATTGCTGACCTTGCGGTTAGCAGCCCGATTCATAACCACTACGCTACCAGAGCTCCATGGATATGACAGTTGTTGTTGTTGTTGTTGTTATGTGCCGTCGAGTCGGTTCCGACCCATAGCGATCCTGTACAGGGTTTCCGAGGGTGTAAATCTTTACGGGAGTAGAAAGCCTCATCTTTCTCCCGCGGAGCAGCTGGTAGTTTCGAACCGCTGACCTTAAGGTTCGCAGCCCGATTCATAACCACTACGCTACCAGAGCTCCATGGATATGACAGTAGGAGACAATAAATAAACATCCTTGAGTGGTTTGCTGCAAAGTTCAAGTTTTTGTTTTTTTTTAGCTTAAAACTTTAAAAGCATAAAGTTTCCTTTAAAAGAGAGGTCCTATATTTTTTTGTAATGGATTAAGTCAATATCTATTACTTAACAATATTTGTACTAAACTCATATTTTAATGGGACAAAAATTTAACTAATTTCATTATTATTAGTTTTACCTGTAAAGAGACATTAAAAAAAAAAATCTATGATTAGAAACCAGCACTGTAATATATCCATACCCTAGTGGTTACGAATCGGGCTGCAAACCTTAAGGTCAGCGGTTCGAAACTACCAGCTGCTCCGCGGGAGAAAGATGAGGCTTTCTACTCCCGTAAAGATTTACACCCTCGGAAACCCTATACAGGGTCGCTATGGGTCAGAACCGACTCGATGGCACATAACAACAACAACAAATCAGTATATATTTTTTCTTCCATCTACATCTAAGCAAAGTTGACTTCTCAGCTGATTTTGCTGTGTTTTTCTGTGGCTTCCTGTAATCCTTGCTCATTGCTGTACACTTGAAAGAATTAGGCTAGCCCTCTTCTTTCTTATTATTTAATTTAAAAATGATTCTGTTATTTGACAAACTTTGATATCTTTTTATTTTTCTAGAAATGGACATGATGCTTGTAGAGAGCTGATTGGTTTTTTTTTTACTCATGACCAGTCTCTTACTGTTTATGAATATCGGCAATTTGGGAAAAATAGGTATGCCATAAATCATTGTTAAAACTTTCAAGATGATTGCTTTGGAGAGAAGCTGAATAACTTTTCTTATTTTTCCTTATCATTTAACTTCTAGAACAAATGTGCTTCCTTTTATTCAAAAAAATATTTATTGTCATCAGCATGGACGAAGAAGAGGAAAACAGTACCAACTTGGTGATTTTTATATTGTAAGTAAAGTGCATATGTGCATTTACAAATGTTTTATTATCAGATGTAAGATTTTTTTGAGGATCCTGTGGGGATAGAGGAACAGGATTTCTAGTGTATGATTTTTTTCTCTTCTCCTTTCTGAGCATGGACATTTGTGTGAATGCCTAATGGTTGATGTTCCCAGGAAATTCTCCTTCCCAGGTCCAGATCCCTATTGTGTGAATCTAGGCATAACATTTATTCCCTGTCTCTACCTACTTTTATCCAAACTGCAGGTTATCTCCAAGAAACCTTGTCTCTTACTACTTTTAAAAGCTCTGTAGTCTGTATTATTAAATAAGTGGCTGCCTCAGTAGCCCCAGGTGGAATGCATCCTCCACTGAGGATATACAGTTTCCTCCATACAGATGGTCTCTGGATGTGTCACATACTTGGTAGTTCACTTACCCTAGCAATTTTCCCATCTTGGGCAATTCCTGACATATGGTGTATCAAAAGGATTCCCTAGAATAGGTATTGTTGTTGCTTTACTCCCCCTTTCTTGCTGATTTCCCCCAAGGATGAGTCTGAGTCCATTGTAATTTATATAAGCCTATTGCCTGTAGTTGATTTCAACTCATAGAGACCGTATTGGGCAGAATAAAAGTGTTCCTACAGAGTTTCCAAGGGTGTAAGTCTTTACAGAAGCAAACTGCCACATCTTTCTCCCATGGAATGGTTTGTGGGTTAATACAGTTGACAGTTTGGTTAGCAGCCAAGTACTTAACCACTGTGCCACTAGGGCTCCCACAGTTTGTATACTTTTCTTGAATCTTAAATAATTATATTCCCTTGTTATCTCATGATTGAAATGCAACATTGTCCATAGTAATCATTCATGTAGCAGATATTCATAGACTAGCTCTTCTTGTCATCAAGTGCAGTCGAGTTGACTGTGACTCATAGCAACCTTGTACAGGGTTTCTGAGGAGCAGCTGGTGGGTTTGAATTACTAACCTTGTGGTTCGCAGTCCAGTGCTGATCCTACAGCACCATGCCAGGAGTCGTAGACTAGCACTAGAGATTGTGAATAAGTTATACTCATCCTCTTTTATAAGGAGCTCTGGTAGCGTAGTGGTTACGAATTGGGCTGTGAGCCACAAGGTCAGCAGTTCGAAACTACCAGCAGTTCCGCGGGAGAAAGATGAGGCAGTCTGCTCCTGTAAAGATTTACAGCCTTGGAAACCCTGTGTAAGGTCACTATGAGTCGGAACCGACTCCACAGCACACAACAACAACAACAACAACATCCTCTTTTATAGAGTTTACAGTATAGTGGGAGTCCCTGGATAGTGCAAATGCTTAGCAGTCTCTCTTGCTAATTGGAAGATTGGAAGTTTGAGTTCACCCAGCGGTACCTTGATGATCCACTTCTGAATAATCAGCCATTGACAGCTCTATGAAGCACATCTTTACTCTGACACACATAGGTCACCATGAGTAACCTCAAACTGAATTGACTTGACAATGATTTTTAAGAAACAGTCTAATGGGAAACACAGTCATGTAAAAACAATGTGGCTTACTATGATAGGTGCATATCACATGGAGCTAGAGTTGAGGAGCAATAAATTTAGTTTTGTTGTATCTAGGGAGGCTTCCTGGAGAAAGTGCTCTTAGACTTGGAAACTTAGTAGGATTTATCTCAGCTGGGACAGGGAGATAGGAAAGGGTAGAGAAAAGTCTTCCTGATGGATGAGGCAACTTGTACAAAGGAAAATCCAAGAAAGAACATGAGTCATTTGGAGAACTGAGAAATGGACTGGATTATAGAGTTTAAGGTGGAGGTTGGAAAGAAATGAGTTTGAAGAAGATTAAGACCTTATTAAGAACATATCTGAAATTCACTGGGGGGTCACCAAAGCAAGGAGGTGGGGACAGGATTGGGAGAGGTGGTGTGTGCAGGTGTATGATTTAGAAAGAGCACTTGACTAAGTCAGCAAGAAAACGATGCTTATTTTACTCTGTACTTATTTTACTGCAATCTATTAAGTCTTGTCTTTGATAAGTTATTGTGTTCCTTGCCATGGATATGTGGAGATGGCCCCAAAATAATCTCTTACTATAGAGAAGTTTGGTAGAGCTAATCTATCCTACCCTCATCTTTGTAATTAACCTGGTTTTAATTACAAATGTAAAACTACATTTTCTAGGTGTACAAGTAGTTTTGTATACTTTTCAATTGCTTGTTGATATTTATTTTTTAATTCTTTGCTGTTGTTGTCGTGTGCCCTTAAGTTGGTTCCCATATATAATTAATTTATAGAGGTCTTCTAGGGTATCTGTGGTAGTAAATCCTTGAAGAAGCATAAAACCTCATTTCCAATCGTTTAATGGCATTAAAATTAGCTTTATTGTTGTTGTTAAGTGTCATCGGGTCAGTTCTAACTCATAGTGACCCTGTATAGGGTTTCCAAGGAGCTGCTGGTGCGTTTGAACTACCGACTTTGTTGTTAGCAGCCCAGTGTTTATCCTACAGTGCCACACCTCAGCTTGGAATAGCAAAACATTATTAGGTACTAGGTGTCTCAGCTTTGACACCAAATATAAGGAGTCATTTACTGTACTTAAGTGATTCTACTTTGGTATGCATACAGTCTTCACTTTGGATGTTGGAGTAACATTTTGACTTCTAGACTTAATATAAGAAATCTTTTAAACGAACCATTAGACTCCTTTCTGTATTTAGGGATATCATAAATTACATTGCACTAATTTGATTACACTAATTTGTCCTTTCTTCATCTGTTATTTATAAATCTGAGTTTTATATTTTTTCATATAAATTGTTAGCTATAAGATTGTTGTAATTGAGAGACTGAGAGATTGCCTTATCTTCCTGTTGGATTAACTGAAGTTTGTATGGTTTCTAAATTCTTAAATATACTTTTTATTGTTATAAAGTATACTTCACATATAATTAAGACTGAATATTTTAAATTAGTGTTAATCATATTATACTATTTATATACTTTCTAGGTTAAATGATTCCTCTTTCAATTTCTATAGGGTGCAAATTTGACATTTTTGAGTTCTGACCATCCCAGGCTTCCAGAAAGCATAAAAGAAAACACATTACTTATAATTCGAATAACAAATATTGATCAGATAGCTTTGGATTCTCTCAGGTAAGTCTAATATAAATCTGTTATTTTGAAAGTAATTGGAAAAATTGTATTTTTATTATCTTGAATAGGTGAAAATATTGTATTTTATTAATAATATGAAATTTGAGCACAAAACATTCTGACTTTAATTAAGGCTTGTATTTCTAAAAATCAGAGCAGACTATGTGTGTACATTTTATGTTATTTTGTACTCAAATCCATGCCAGTTGTGGAAACAGTTACAATTAATTAAAGATTAAATAGGGCTCCATTGTATGCTAATGAAAGGTCCTTTGTTCATGTGTCTTTGCTAAATAATATTGTTACCATGTACTATCAAAACAAAAATTGTAAAAGATAAAATAATCATAAAAACTAAAACAGTTTTCCCCACATTGTTAGGGTGATACTTTTTTATTAATATAAAAAATCTTAGTAACTCCATGACTATAGTATTCATTGATTAATTGTATGCATAGTAAAAATAATGCTACAAATTATTAAATGCACTTAAATAGTTTTGAATCATAGTGTTTGATCATAGTGTGTTCTTGATATTAAAGATAACTCAAAATTACAATGATACTTGTATTAAATGTATACTACCCTGCTACTGATTATTGTCAATGGACAGAAGAGAGCAGTCCTATAGGGTTGCCAAGGCTTTAAATCTTAATGGAAGCAGACAGTCACATAGTTCTCTTGCACAGTGGCTGGTGGGTTTAAGCCATCAACCTTTCTGGTTACAGTCGAGTGCTTAACCGCTGCACCACCAGGGTTTGCTTGAAATGACTAAAGACATCTATGTAAGGTTTAAATGTAACTTTTGGAAAATGTGAAGGATTTTAGGATTTTCTTGTTATTGTTAGGGGCCCTCAAAATTGTTCAGACTCACAGTGACCGAATGCACAATTGTTGTTACATTTGAGCCCAGTAGGGCTGCCATTTTGGCATGCCATCACATTGGTAATCATCTTCTTTTTTTCTGACTCTCCATTGTTCCAAGCATGATGTCCTTCCCCAGGGATTGGTCTGTTCTGATCACATGTCCAAAGTATGAGCGACAGAAATCTCACTATACTTGCTTCTAAGGAGCATTACTGGCTGTACTTCTTCCAAGGTGTATTTGTTAGTTCTTCTGGCAGTCCATGATACTTCAATATTCTTCTTCACAGATAATTCTGTATTCCTGGTGTGGTGTTGTAGGATAAGCACTGGACTGTGAACCATAGGGCTGGTGGTTAAATCCACCAGTCACTCCTTGGAAACCCTGTACAGGGACCTTTAATGGCACTTGATAACAACACTGTAATTCCAATGCATTGATTCTCTATGGTCTTCCTTATTCAGAGCCAACTTTCACACCAACTTTCATGAGGTGATTGAAAATACTGTGGCTTGGGTCAGGTGCATCTTGGTCCTCAAACTGACATCTTTACTCTTGAATACTTTATTAAAGAGGTCTTGTGCAGCAGATTTTCTAATGCAATGATATATCATTTGATTTCTTGACTGCTGCTCATGAGCATTTATTGTAGATCCAAGCAATTTAAAATCTTTGACAGCTTCACTCTTTTCTCCATTTATTATGATGCTATTTATTGGTCCAGTTGTGGGGATTTTTAGTTTCTTTACATTGAGGAGCAATCCATATGGAAGGCTGTAGTCTGATGTTTGTCAGTATTTCAAGTCCTTTACACTTCCACAAGCAAGACCGTAACATTTGCATATTGCAGGTTGATAATGAGTCTTCCTCCAATCCAGATGCCACTTTCTTCTTCATATAATCCAGTGTCTCAAATTATTTGCTCAACATACAGATAAAATAAATATGGTGAAAGAATGCACGACTTTCCTGATTTTTAGTTATTCAGTATCTCCTTGTTCTGTTCTGTTGATCTATGTATAGGTTTCTCATGAACACAATTAAGTGTTCTGACATACCCTTTCTTTTCAATGTTATCCATAGTTTGTTATGATCCACATAGTTGAAAGCCTTTGCATAGTCAAGAAAACACAAGTAAATATCTTTCTGGTGTTCTCTGCTTTCAGCTCTTGTCCCATATTTAATCCCACTGGGTATTAAAGAAGCAGGCAGGGGTGGGATTTAATTAATCTCTAAATATTTCTTCCAACTGTTTGAAATTTCTTTGAGTGTCGAACAGGAGCAACTTACAGTTTCACATCCAAAGATTGCAAAGCAGAATATATTTTTATCACTTCAATTGCAGAACTATTTCTGAGGAACATGAGGATGATATAACTAATCAAGAAGCCAATGATAGACTGGTTTTCAAGACCATTCAAGGTATGAATTATTACAATATTATCAAGTAGTTTTAATTTTCAGCAATTTTTTTTTGTACATTGTAAACCAGTATTTCCAGATATTTCTTAATTTTATGGTACTTGATTTATTTTTCCTAGTTTCTAATCTTTTTAAAAATACATACCTTAAAATTTTTGAGGGATTTTTTCCTGACTTAATAATTAATATTATGTGAATTATGAATTTTAGAAATTATTAGAAATATGGGTTTTACATACTAATCAGATAAAAAGTACACAAAAAAATATAATACTGGTCTGGTGATATTCTAAAGAGATTTGTGGTGGCCAAGTGCAGAAAAAACCCATACTGGTCAGATTCATGTTCTGATGTTGTGGTTCAATAGGCATTTGTTGTTGTTAAGTGCCATCGAGTAGATTCCAACTCATAACTATCCTTCATAAGAATTGTGAGGAGTGGCTGGTGAGTTTGAACCACTAACTTAGCTGTTAGCCATCCAGTGCTTATCCTACAGTGCCACACCATGACCTTATATAAATGTCTTGTATCTTTAGCTCTAAAATCAGGATAGTAACCCCTATCCTATTAACTTGTTAGAGTTTTTATGGGACTATTAAAGCCTTGGGAAGCCTACAGAGGTTCGCTATGAGTTAAAATCAAGTCGACAGCATTTAGCAACAACAACATTAATATTTTATTGAATGTTTCTACTTATTTCCTGGGACATGATTATCCCTGAAGATACACATTAGCTGATTATATTAGTTCATACCTGATGTATGTGCTAAGCACTATGTTAAGAACTTGAGGATTTCTGGTAGCGCAGTGGTTACGAATCGGGCTGCTAACCTCACCGTCAGCAATTCGAAACTACCAGCTGTTCCGCAGGAGAAAGTTGAGGCTTTCTGCTCCCGTAAGGATTTAGAGCCTCGGAAACCCTGTGCAGGGTCCCTATGAGTTGGAACCAACTCCACAGCACATAACAATAACAACAATAATCATTATAATGGAGTCTTGGTGTGACGCTGTGGGTTAATGTGCCAGACTGCAAAGTCGTTTGAACTGCAAAATCGGTGGTTCAAGCTCACCAGCTGCTCCTTGGAAACCCTATACAGGGTCGTTATGGGTGGGAATTGACTCGATGGCACTTAACAACAACAATTATTATCATGATAATTAACATTTATTATGCATTTATTATATCCAAGGCTCAATTCTAACTAATTGTTATATATTATGATAATGTTGTATAATTGGTTTCTCATTTTCCAGATGAAGATACTAAGAATATAAAAGGTTAAATAACAAAATAGTCCAGTGTTACATAATTAGTATCATAGTGAAAATAAAACCTGTGCAGCCTGTTTATAGAGTCCAGACATGTACCCATTACATTATAGTTCAAGATAGACAGCTCTTTGGAGCTCAGAGTCTAGAGGAGAGAAAAGCATTGATTACAGAACTAATCACAGAAATCCCCATATAAATTGGAATTTTAAATGAGCACTTAAAGATGAAAATAAGTCATAAAAAGAAGACTAGAAACAGCTTTGCAAGTTGTTGTGTGACAGGTACCTGAAATCCCAACTATTCCTGAATCTATCATTAGTAAATGGTTTATTCATCCATGGTGAATACAGTTGGTGACTCTTTGGGATCTAATTGTATCTAATGACTTTGCCTATTTTTTATTATTTACTCTAAATCAAAAAATCGCTGTCATTGAATCTGTTCTGACTCATAGAGACCCTGTAGAAAGGAATAGAACTGTCCCATGGAGTTTCTAAGATTGTCAGTTCAGAGAAGCAGACTGTCACATCGTTCTTCTGTGGAGCAACTGGTAGGGTTTGAACCACCTTTTGGTTAGGAGCCAAGCACTTAACCACTGCACCACCAGGGTGCCTTCTTTCCTCCAATTAAATACAATTGTATTGTATCTACTAACTACTTTAGTGAAGTTACTTATATTTTCTGAAGTCAAGATGGTACAAACTGCATTCAATAAAGTCACTGAGGTGCAAACAGAATGCTAGGGACCAGAGAAAATATGCCCTTAACAGGTGACTTTAAATCTGTAAGCATAGATTTGCAATCAAAACCTTGATGATATATAAACTACAATGTGAAGATTTCGCATCTTTAGAAAAATCTTAACTGATTATTTTTGAGTGATTTGCCATGCATCAGGTTTGTGCAGTTGGTTCACAACAAAAAACAAAGAAAGAAAGATACGGATAAGATTAGATCAAAGGGGAGCCTGGAAAATAGAAAGTAAGATTTTATTTTTAACACTTAAGTTCCTTTCATGCTGATAAAGTAAAAAATATTATTTTCCTAGATTGAAAATAGAACACTTTCACCACACAGTGGTGCTATAGTCCTGGTATATTTATATATGATTTTATATATAATCCTTTGTAATAAAGGTATTGAGTTCTCCAAGCTCTTTTATCAGTCCTGCATAGGACTTGAGTTTTCTTTCCTGTTTCAGCTATACTGACTTTCACTTTCTTACAGGAGGGACAACTGCAGTTGCATACATTTGTGCATAGTAATGTTTAGTTTCTGTCTCTCTTCTGTTTAAACAGACACCCTAAAAGTGAAACTACATCAACGAGGTGTTCGTATTTTGACTGGACTAGGAAAATACTTTCAACAGTTGGACAAAGAAGGAAATGGACTTTTAGAGAAGGCAGATTTTAAACAGGCTCTTAAACTATTTCACTTAGAGGTGCCTGAAAAGGTGTGTATCACAGATTATTTTCTGCAATACAGAATACATTATTTTTCGGTGTTTATTGCTCACTTTTCTACTGAAATCTTAGTTGTTCCTTTGTCATCGCCTTTGTATTTATCTCTGTTTACAGTGTTGTTGTTGTTAAGTGCTGTCGAGTCGATTCCGACCCATAGCGATCCTGTATAGGGTTTCTGAGGCTGTAAATCTTTACGAGAGCAGAAAGCCTCATCTTTCTCCTGCGCAACAGCTGGTAGTTTCAAACTGCTGACCTTGCGGTTCACAGCCTGTTATGTAACCACTATGCTACCAGAGCTCCTTACGAGACAACAAATTCTGTTATTTTTAAAAATTCTAACGTTTGTTTTCACTTCAACTATTTTGAGTCATAGGACATTAAAGACTAGCTGCACCTTTAAATATCTCTGCTACAACTCCGATGTTTGAAGGTGTTGGAAAATGAGACTCAGAAAGTTGAGTTCTGCCCCATACATCTGACAGAACCTAACTTGGGTATCTTGTCATTTTCAATATAGCATTAAGCTCCTATATATAACTAATCTTCATTATTGTTGCTTCTGTTTGAATTTCTACTAATAAAAACTTTAATAAACACTTGCAAAAAATATTTATTAAGAGTCTATATAGTGCCATAGGATAAGCACTCAACTTCAAAGTCGTTTTAAACCGGTAGGTTAGAGACAACTCAAACTCACCAGCCTCTCCTAGGAAATTTATACTGGGTTGCTATGAGTTGGAACTGACTCAACAGCACTTAACAATAACAACAACAACTAGGTGATGTGCCTGCTACTGATAAAACATACTCGGTACTCTAAAGCTCATTATAATCTAAGGAGAGAAATATATAGATGATAATAAACTTATGACATGTCTTCAAAAAGTCCCTAATTCTAAGCCAGGTGATGGGTGAAGGGGAAGTAAAATCATGGAAGGATTCTTGCAGGAGCCTCCAACTAAGCTGTGTTTTGAAGGATGAGCAGAAATTAATCAGACAAGGGAGGAGGAAGAGCATAGATAAGATGATCAATATTTTAGGAGGACAAGCACATGTGAAGGCATGGAAGGTAGAGAAAGAAACTGTAAATGACTCCTTTTTCCATCGGTGAGACTTCATGGGTGCTTTCTCCTCTGTTTTGAATAATCTCGCAGTAGATCTTTACATGGCTTGTTTTCCTCATGATTCAGGCCACAGTTTTCTGCACTGGGAGAGCTACTCTGACACTCCTGTATGAAGAAGCCATCGCCTCCTGCCCCCTCATCTTCTCGACACCATTTTATTTGCTTCCTATGACTTCTGCAAGCTCTAAATTTCATTAGGGTGGAAGCCTTTGGCTTCTTGTTCCCTGCTCTATCTCTAGCATCTTGAACTAAGACTGGGATTTGGCCCCCAAAACCCTGCTGGCATGAAATACATTTGGAGTTCAATACAAAATAACTGGTAGCCTTATAGGGTATAGTAACTGCAAAGGACAGAGTAGAACTTCCCTGTAGAGTTTCCAAGGTTGTGAATCTTTATGGAAGCAGATTGCCACATCTTTGTCCCATGGAGTGACTGGTGGGCTCAAACCACCAATCTTTTGGTTATCAGTCAAGTACTTTGACCCCTGTGCTACCACGGCTTTCTGCCTGCCATACAGCAATTGCTAAATAAATAGTTCATGGATTAATTTGAATGAATGGATGGATGAATATGAATTGCTAGATGAATAGAAGAAAGGAAGGAAGAGACAGAGAAAGGGAGGAAGAAAGGAAGAAAAATAAGCCTGAAAAGGTCAGCAGGGTCCATTATATTAAAGCTTTGTATGCTAGGCTAAATTTGGAAAATATTTTAGAAGTATATGAATTCAAGATGCATCCATCTTAAGGATTCTCTTATATTGCTTTCTGTGTCTTCAAATGGTATTGTCACTGATGCAATTTATTTCATAGGTAAAATATTGGAACTTGAAGTTATGAGATCTATATTTAAATTCTTATCTTACTACATATCTGTGTGACCTTGGACAGGACTCTGAACTTTTCTGATTGACAAGCTTTGTTTGCCTAAACCAGAAATAATGTTTATAATGAGAATTCATTTGAGGCTTATATGAGAAAAAATATTAGAAATATTGCCTTATGAACTGTGATATCTATGTCTGTATGCTGTTGCCTATTACTGTTGTGACTTACCTGTCTTATGTGTTCCCATAGCTCCTCTAGTTGCTCATATAGTGACAAACACCAGGGATCATTTAGTTTCACTTCTTCATTTACTGAAAAAAAAAAAAAAAAAAGCCCCAAAACAATAACAGAAAAGTAGAACATCTCAGTGCCTTTATCCACAACCACACAGATAATTAGTAATGGAGGCAAAACTAGAATTTCTTTGTTGTCAGGAGCTCTGTGAACAGAACAGTGGTGCCATTATAAATGGCAGTGGTAAAATGAATGAATAGACTAACATAAGGAATGGACTCCCTGTAGCATGTTGTAGCATAAATTATGGTATTAGTCATTCAAATCTTCTAGGCACTAAGAATAAATACAGTTAGGGGTCATATATATTTGGGGGCATTTCAGAACCTGAAAGAACTTTTGAACTGTCACAGACATAGCAATAAAAAATTTGAATTTTTTAAAGTAGAGTAAGTGATAGACATATTTTTATGTAATTGCTGTTGTCATGTGCTACTGAGTAGATTCCATCTCATAACAACCCTGTATGGGGTTCCTGAGGAGTGGCTGGTGGGTTTGAACTCTGACATTGAAGTTAGCATTCCAGTGCTTATCCTACAGCTCCACACCAGGAATCCATATTTTTATGTAACATGTTTTTATATACAAGATGAATTTTATAAGTCTGTAAGTCAAAGATTTCCTAACTTTTGAGAACCATTTACCAAGGGTTCCTTTAAATAGTTCTCATAGTGCTTTTGTAAAATGATTGGATTTATGTATGACTTGTTGTAGTTTTCTCCTTAAATGTTAACTTGCCTAGGGTTATAAAGATGCAGCAAAATGTTGCTCTGATGATGTTTTGGTGACCATACATAGCTTAAAGGCATAGCAGTGATCTCTATATAATTATTTCTAGGATTTTGAGTCCTCATGGCTAATTCTGAATGGCAATGGCAATGACAAGGTTGATTATGGAGAATTCAAACGCGCCATTATTGGTGAAATGAATGAATATAGGAAATCATTTGTTCGAAAGGTAACTTTGCTAAGTAATTTTTTGAATTGTTACTTTTCATAGATTATTAGTTTCATTATTTAAAAATGGAATTGAATGATCATTTAATAGGTTTAAATCTTTTTATCTGTAATACATGCTTGGTTTAGTTAACACAAACACACCCATACACATAATAACATATAAGTTACAAATAAAATGACATATGCATGTTTTAGGAAAATATTGTAAAAAGAAAATAATATCTTCAATTATACTTTGGTTTATAAATGACTAGCTCCAGAAATTACTAGCTGTGTGTATGCTTTATTAAATGCTCTTAGCTTTATTTTCCTATCTTATATAAAGTTGGTCTGAAATTTAAATGAGATGACACGTATACAATTCTTAACGCTATGGCTGGATGAGCATCAATGATGAATACATGTCATTTTAGAATTGCTGTTGGTTGACACTGAATCCATTTCCACTCATAGTGACTCCATGTGACAGAGTAGAATACTTCATAGGGTTTTCTAAGCTATAATCTTCATAGAACCGACTCAATGACACTTGACAACAACAAGAACAACAATCTTCATAGGAGTACTGGTGTGGCACTGTGGGATAATACACTGGACACAAGGTCAGTTTGAAATATTAGACTGGCGATTCAGATTCACCAGCAGCTCCTCAGAAACCCAATACAGAGAGTCGCTATAAGTCAGAACTGACTCAAAGGCACTTAACAACAACAATCTTCATAGGAGCAGATCACCAGGTCTTTCGCTCATGGAACTTCTGGGTAGATTCAAACTGTCAACCTTTGCACCATCAAGATTCCATAATTTTGGGATGATGATTAAAAAATGTGCTGATTTTTATAATATGCATACTACATATTAAAATTAAGATTAAAATGACCACATTACATTGAAATTAAAACAGGATCCCTTATTGTAACACTGTAAAATAAGCACTGACCTGCTAACTGCAAAGTTGGCAACTCAAACCCACCAGCCACTCCTTGGAAACCCTTGGAACTGATGCAGCAACACTTAACAATAACAACAACAGTATGTATTTTTTGGATTCTTGGTAGCCATTTGTAGAGCGTGTTTTTGCTTAAGAAGAAGAACAAAGTTGGAGGCCTCTCACTCCCTGATTTCAAAATTTTCTACATGGCTTCTTGTTATTGTTGTTAGGTGCCATTGAGTTGGTGCCGACTCATAGTGACCTTATGCACAGTAGAACAAAACACTGCCCGATCCGTGACCAACCTCACTATTGTTGCCATGCTTGAGTCCATTGCTGCTGCCACTTGGCCAATCCATCTCGCTGGGGATCTTCCTTTTTTTCTCTGATCCTCCACCTTACCAAACATGATATCCTTCTCCAGCAACTGGTCCCTCCTGACAATATGTCTGAAGTATGAGAGACGAAGTTTGGCCATCATGGCCTCCAAGGAGCACTCTGGATGCACTACACAGCTACAGTGGTCAAAAGAGCCTGGTACTGGTACAATGAAAGACACATAAATCAATGGAACAGAATTCAGAATCCAGAAATTAACCCATCAGCATAAAGCCAACTGATCTTTGACAAAGGGCCAAAGTACATTGAGTGGGGAAGACATAGTTTCTTTAACAGATGGTATGGCAGAACTGGAAATCGATAGGCAAAAGATTAAAACAAGACCTTTACCTCGTGCCATATATAAAACCCAACTCAGCATGGATTAAAGACCTAAATGTGAGTCCCAGAATTATAAAGGTCATCAATGAAAAAATTAGAACAAATTTAAGGGCACACACAGCCTATGAAACAATGTGAAAATTACACAAACAAAAGAAGACAAAATAGATGATTGGATATTGTAAAAAATAGAAACATGTGCAACAAAGGATTTCACCAAAAGAGTAAAAACGGAGCCCACAGAGTATATCTTTTGCAATGACACATCAGACAACAAACTAATTTCTAAAATCTATAGGAAACTAGAGCATCTCTACAAGAAAAGGACAAGTAACCCAATTAAATAATGGGCACAGTACATGAACAGACACTTCACCAAAGAAGACATTTGAGGAAGCCAACAAACCTATGAAGAAAATGTTCATAATTATTAGCCATTTGTTGTTGTTGTCAGGTGCCATTGAGTCGGAACTGACTCATAGCGACCCTGTGCACAACAGAACGAAACAATGTCTGATCCTGGGCCAACCTCACTACCGCTGCCACACTTAACGCCATCAATGATGCCACCTGGCCAATCCGTCTCTTTGGGGGTCTTCCTCTTTTTCTCTGAGCCTCCATTTTACCCAGCATGACATCCTTTTCCAGTGACTGTTCCCTCCTGACAACTTGTCCAAAGGATGAGAGACGAAGTTTAGTCATCTTGGCCTCTAAGGAGCACTCTGGCTGCACTTCTTCCAAAACAGATCTATTGGTTCTTTTGGCAGTCCATGGCACTTTTAGTATTCTCCTCCAACACCGCAATTCAAATGCATCAGTTCTTCTACGATCTTCCTTATTCACTGTCCAGCTTTCACATGCATATGAGGTTATTGAAAATACCATAGCTTGGGTCAGGCGCACCTTAGTCCTCAAGGTGACATCTTTGTTCCTGTGCAGCAGATTTGCCTAATGCAATACGTCATCTGATCTCTTGACTGCTGCTTCCACAAATGTTGATCATTGATCCAAGAAGAATGAAGTCCTTGACAACTTCAATCTTTTCTCCGTTGATAAGAATGTTGTTTATTGGTCCAGTGGTGAGGATTTTTGTTTTCTTTACATTGAGATGCAATCTATACCGAAGGCTGTGTTCTTTGATCTTCATCAGTAACTGTTTCAAGCCATTAGAGAGATGCAAATCAAAACAGCAATGAGATACCATCTCACACCAACAATAACAATGAAGTTCAAAAAGGCAGAGGATAATAAATGTTGGCAAGGATATGGAAAGCCTGGGACTCTCCTACCTTGCTGATGGGAATGCAGAATGGTCTAACCACTCTGGAAACAGTATGGCGCTTCCTCAGAAAGTTGGAAATAGAAATACCATATGATCCAACATTTCCTCTACTTGGTATATATCCACAAGAACTACAATCCATAACACGAGTAGATCTATGCATACAAATGTTCATAGCAGCACTATTCACAATAACAAAAAGATGGAGACATCCTAAGTGCCCATCAATGGAAGAATAGATTAACGTTGGTACATACACACAATGGAATATTTTACTACCTTGAAGAATAACAAGGAAGCTGTAAGCCATGGTGAACCTTAAGGACATTATGCTGAGTGAAATTAGTCAGTCACAAAAGAAAAATTTTGCATAAAACCATTATTGTAAAAGCTTAAGGAAAGATACCCATACTAAAAGTGGAAAAAAACAACAACACTTCTTTGTTGGTTACCAGTGGGGTTGGGTGGGGGTGGAGGGTTAGGGGGAGGCTGAGGGTAGGGGGCAGACACATCATAGTTCGGGTGTTGGGGAGGGCAATACACAAGAAGGGGGAGGAGGTGGAAGAACAATATAGGTAGGGGAACACTGAGACAGATTTGCAAGGACTAAATGTGACAGAGGTAAATAGTGAGGCATACATCACCTTGGAACAACAGGACTCTGTTATACAGAGATCAAGGCCTAGTTTGCAGATGGGAAATAATAATAAGATGCTTGACTGTCTTATGAATATTGGTTTCCCTTACCAACTATTGTAAAATAGACACTTAGGAAAAACCCAGAACAAAAATGGCAGTATGATTGGCTACTATAAGAATAAGCAACTTGTTTGCCAGAAAGCCTTTAAGGCAAGCAATCAAGTCCCTTCAGGACAAACCCCACTCTAAGACTGAAACTCAAAGGGAACACATGAACAGGCATGTAAGCTTGCTGGCAACCATGTTGGTCTACTGGTGAGTGCAAGAGGAGGAAAGGCAGCAATGACGAAATGGGATGCGTTCAACCACGTTCCATAGACTCCTGTTGACCTGGAGATGAGATAGAGAAGAGGAAGGGTTCGTTGGTCCAAAGTGTGGTGAGACCTGAGGACACCTGAGCCCATGGACTAGGACATAGCCACAGAGGGTTAGAGCTGAAAGTGAAGTATCCAGCTGATATGAAATGAGGGGAGATGCATAAGAACACCCAAACTTGCAGATAGTACCCATTTGACCTAGCCTTGATGGCTTGATGATCAGAACTAGACTAGAGGAAGATAAAAAATTAGCAAACAATTTTTGATAAACAAAGGTAAATTGCTACAATTTGATGAACTTGACCTATACTCATGGAGGGGTTGTTGTTATTCTTAAGTGCCATCGAGTTAATTCTGATCGATAACAACTCTGTATAGGGTTTCCGCGGTGCAGCTGGTGAGCTTGAACCACAAACTTTGCAGTTTAAATGACTTTTCAGTCTGGCACATTAACCCACAGCGCCACACCAGTACTCCACTCATGGAGGTAGTAATTCTAAATACCAGCAGAGAGGGAAGGAGTCTTTACATCAAGTATCAATGCTATACCCTTTGTACACAGGGTAGGTAGGGGCAGGCCACTTAAATATTGGCTACCTAAAATGAGGGGGCAATAAATGCACAAAGTGACTGGCTTACAAGGTTTCAAGAGGGAGTTTAGTTTAAGAGTATGGTGGGGTGGAGTGGCGGGGGGAGAAAGAGTCCCCACTGAATAGTTTTCATCTTGTTTAGTTGGGTCTGGTGAAAAGAGGTCATTTATCCCCAACTCTTCTGGTGTGGATAAGCAATGGACTTCTAACAGCTAGGTTGTTGGTTCAAACCCACCAGCTGCTCCTTGGAAGCTCTATACAGGGTCACTATCAGTTGGAACCACTTGATGGTATTTTTACAAGAAAAAACTTGTTTACAGAGAAGGAAAGCCAGGACAATAGAGCATAGGACAGGCTTCTATCAAGTGATAAAACTGATACTTAGTGCCATCTTCCTAATAGCGTGTTCTAATGTCTGTTCCTTGTATTCATGATACTTTTCTTATGAATCAGTTAAGCACTTTTAAATTTTCTTGTTTAGAACTCAAATAAGTTACTGGAAGTAGAAAATTAAGTTGTCATGTTTAATGATTTCATAGAACAAATAATATTTCTCTATTTAGGCATTTATGAAACTGGATTTCAACAAAACTGGCAGTGTGCCTATTATAGATATAAGAAAATATTACTGTGCAAAGAAACATCCTCAAGTAATTTCAGGTAAATATCAGTAAAAAATGCAATAGATTTACAGAATGTTAGTTAATAAAAGCAAAACCTTTTTAGTAGTTTGTATTCTGAATGTAGGACTACTCAGTGAGGAAATAAAAACTTTTAAACTAGAAACTTGAGAGTCATTTTCCTTTTCAGATTTAAAAATTATTAGGTCTATTTTCTGCACTTAGTCATTTCTTTTATGCTTATAATTGAGATAAGACTCAATTTCTTACTGAAGAAATAATGGACTGTTTTATTTAGAAAGAACAGAATAGACTAATTCTGGAGAATGGACATTACATTACATATGCAAATTCTGAGTTAGTTTTACTGTATTTGCTTGCATGGATGGGCTTCAAACAGTTCATAGACAAATGGAATGAAAAGATAAAGTAATTTTTCTTCAAGCTTTAAAACTTTTTGAAGCCCCCACCCTCACCCCCACCATACAGTTATCAATACTGGAGGATTAAAGGTGACTGAGGCAATGAATATCTTTCTGTAGGCATGGTGGGGAAAAAATGTGTAAGTGTTTTAAAAAAATAGTATCACCCGAAGATGTAACGGTATTAGAAATCCAATGTCTGTTCATTAAAATATTTTCTGGTCTCTAAAAGGAGCAAAACAAAGTTTCATTTTAAATGAGGAAAAGCAGGTATTTGGAGATTTGAAATAAAAAGGCAGTATAAAATTCTTGACTGCTTGAAGCATATGTTGAAATATAATGTTTTCCTTAGGAATATATAGTGTTAAAACATCTGCTTAAAAGTATAGATGATACACAAAGGGAGAAATCTTTTCTGCACAATTTTAGATGTCTTTGTATAGATTGTTGTTAAGTGCTGTTGAGTCAATTCCAGTTCACGGCGCCCTGTATAGGGTTTAAAGTTTTTCTAACACCAAGTCTTCTCCCATTTCATTATAATACTTTACTTTGTCCTCTCGAGTTGCCCTTTGAAATTTTCTGTCCAGTTCTTTTAATCATTTTTTCCAGTTGCTTTAGCTTCTCTACATTCAAGAGCAAGTTTCAGTCGCTTCTGACATGTACTTTGGTTTTTATTTTCTTTCCCGTCTTTTTAATGATCTTTTACTTTATTCATGTATGATGTTCTTGATGTCATTCCACAACTTTTCTGGTCTTCAGTCATTAGTGTCTAATGCATCAAAACTATTCTTAAGAGGATCTCTAAATTCAGGTGGGATAGACTCCTGGTATGGTGCTGTAGGATAAGCACTAGACTACTAACTACAAGGTTGGCAGTTCAAACCAACCAGATGCTCCAAGGAAACCTTACATATAGGGTTGCTATTCGGGCTGTGAACCGCAAGGTCAGCAGTTCAAAACTACCAGCAGCTCTGTGGGAGAAAGATGAGGTGATCTACTCCCATAAAGATTTACAGCCTTGGAAACCCTGTTCAGGGTTGCTATGTGTCGAAACCGACTCGACGGCACTTAACAACAACAACAACAACAACAACAACAACATGAGTGAGAAATGACTCAACAGCAATTAACAACAACATATCCACGCTCATATTGGGCTCTTGTTTACTTGTTTTAATTTTCTTCAGCTCAGCCTAAATTTGCAGTTGATGGTCTGTTCTAGTATTTGGCTGATAATATTGACCTTTCTCAACCTGAAAGAACTAAAGAAAAAATTTAAGATTCAGGTTGCAATGTTGAAGGGTTCTATGGCCAAAATGATGCATAAACAAAAAAGACAGAAGGCATACACAGATTCACTGTACCAAAAATAATTGGTTGATATTCAAACATTTCAAAAGGTAGCATAAGATTAAGAACCAATGACACTGAAGAAAAAAGTGTAAGCTGTATTGAAGATACTGGGAAAAAATAAGGCTCCAAAATTGATAGAATACAAATTGAAATGTTTCAACAAACTGATGCAGCCCATGGAGACACTCACTTGTCTATGCTAAGAAATTTGGAAGAGATCCATATTTGTGCCCATTCCAAAACAAGATAGTCCAATGGAATGCAATCGTCAAGCAGTATCATGAAATACACATGCAAATGAAGATAACTCTAAAGTATTGGCAGCAGTACATTGACTGGGAGTTTCCAGAAATTCAAGCCAGATTCAGAAACGACATGGAACAAAGAAATATGTTTACTTGAACTTTTTTTGACTATACAAAGGTGTTTGACTGTGTGGGTTATAAGAAACTATGGATCACATTGTGAAGAATGGCAACTCCAGAACATTTAATTGTGTTCATAAGGAACCTGTACTTAGGCCAAGAGGCAGTTCTTTGAGCAGAATAATGTAATACTAAATGGTTACAAATCAGGAAAGATGTGTGTTAGGGTTGTATACTTTCACCATACTTATTCAGTCTGGAAGCTCTATTATATGAAGAAAAATGTGGTATCAGGATTGGAGAAAGACTAATAACCTGCAATGTGCAGATAATACAGCCTTACTTACTGGAAGGGAAACGGATTTGAAATATTTACTGATAAAAGTAAGAAGTCCTCACAACTAGACTAATGTATAGCAACTTGATAAACAGTGAAAATAATGAAGTTTTCAGACTTCATTCTTGAATCAACTATCATGGAAGCCTCAATCATAAAATCAAATAATGCATTGCATTGGGCAAATCTTCTGCAAAAGACCTCATTAAAATATAAAAGATTCAAAAGACAGCCAAGCATCTTAACATTGTTTCCCCCCTTTTACCCATTCCAACCATGTTTCAATCCCTATATCCCAGAGCCCTGTTGTTCCAAGGTTGTGCATACATCATTATTTACCTCTGTCCCACTTCAGCTTCACATTCATCCTATCGTATTTTATTTCATTGCAATGATTATAATCCCTTCCATGCATCATCAAATAACGAAAAGATACACCCCACAGGCCCCTCCCCTTGACTGTCAGCAAACAACTCCTCTCCCTCCCTGAGTCCCGTGTCCCCAGCCACTCCATCTGTCCACGCCAGCATCTCTGTCTCCATGCCGGGCTTCACTGCCTCTCAGGGTAGGGTCACACTTTCTGCTTTTCTAGCTTGATGGTCCCAGGGACCTCCACTCCTGGGCTGCAAAATCAATCACTCTCCTCCTTTTACAAAAAAAAAAAAAAAAAATCTGCCTCTACATTTCTGACCTGATGGCAGTTATTCACTATTGTACCACAAAAGTCTTATCCCCATTTCCTCTCATCAGCCCAGTCTCAACAGATTGGAAATCATTCAGTGGAGGTTCTGCCTACCCCTGCCCCGTCTGGAACTAGGTTCCCTCCTGAAAGCTTGTAACCCAGTCACTTCTTGCCTTTATAGTCCTCCCCTCCCCCATTTTGAGTCTTGGCAATTTCTAGCCCCCTTTAAGGTATTCCAGTCAGTTACAGGCTGAAGATGGGCTTACATGTTTTCTATTGTGATGTTTCTGGCAACCCCCCCCCCCCCAAGTGTCTATTTCACAATGGTAGTAAGCAAGGGAAACCAAGATTCAAAAGACAGCCACACATCCTAACATTATTCCCCTCTTTTACCGTTTCAAACCATGCCTCAATCCCTGTATGCTGAAACCCTGTTATTCCAAGGTTGTATATACATCGTCATTTACCTCTGTCCCACCTAGCCCATGCAAACCTGCCAAACTGTTCTCCCATCTGCCTTGTTCTTCTTTTCCCCTCCCCCTTCTTGTGTATTGCCAAACCCCCAACCCCTGCACCCAGGCTCTCCTGTGTCTATTTCCTACCCTGTGCTCTATCTTCCCCTCCCTCCCTCCAATCCTCTCATCCCATACACTGGAGGCGGAGAGAAAGGAATAGCCAGAAATATTACCATAGAAAGCTTGTAAGTCAGTCTTCTGCCTACAACTGATTGGAATACCCAAAATGGGGCTACAACATGCCCAGTGAAAGAAGCTTTCTGCAGAGCCCCTGCATTACATAATACCATCAGTGGAATTCTGAACATCATACAGAATATTCTGAGGTGGAAACTCTCCACTTGAAAGGAAAAGCAGACAAGCTTGGAGTAGCCAGAAGAACAGATGATACTTCTTGAAAGAAAGACTGACAGGAAAAATACAAAACAATATAGGCAGACTGACTGATTACTACAAGAACAAACAAGTGACTCGCCCAGAGGACATCAACGCAAGTGGTCGGGTCCCCTCAGGGCAAACCTTCTAAGACTAAGACTCAGTGGAAATACATGCTCTGATTGGTGACCACATTCGTCATCGATAAGGTGAAGTGAGGGGAAAACAGCAATGAAGCTACAGGCTAAGCCCTACAATGTTCAATAGACTCCTGTGAACCCAGCTGGAGACCTGGTTGGCCAACAGTGTAGCAAGACCAGGGGACTCTTGAACCCAGAGTCAGTGACATAGCCACAGAGGACTAGAGTAGAGACTGAAGCATCCAGTTGTTAAGAAGAGAGGGCACATGCATAAGTACACTCACACTTGCAGATAATACCCACGTGACCTGGCTTCCATGACTGGATGATCAGAGCTCAACTAGAAGAAGAAAGAAGAGGAAAAAAAGAGTAATCTGATACAATTTGATGAACTTGGCCTATACCTATGGATGCAGTAAATAAAAAAAGGGAACAAATCTTCACAGCGAGGATCGTTCCCACCCCCTCCATACACGGAGAGAAGAGGGATGGGCAACTTGGACGTTGGCTACCCAGAATGGGGGCTCTACAGAGGCAAGAAGTCACTGGCTTACAACCTTTCAAGAGGGAACCTAGATCCAGAGGGCATGGAGCAAGGTAGAATCTCCACTGAGTAATATCCAATTTGTCTAGGCAGGGTTGAAGAAAGGAAATGTGGATAAATCTCTTGCGACACAATAGTGAATAATTATCAGGACTGGTTGTAAGGGTTGGGAATGTAAAGGTAGACATTTTGTGGCAAAAGAAGGAGAGTGATTAACTTTGCAGTCTAGGTGTGGAGGTCTCTGGGACCATCAAGGGAGAAGAGCAGAGAATGGAACCCTACTCAGAGAAGCAGTGATGTCAAAGAT